TGTTTTCCAAATTGTTTATATCTTATATAAACTGCATAAAGATTTATGGACATGTTCATTTATATAGATACACAAGTAAGTATGGAATACTAGACACTGAAATATCAACCACAGCTATTTTGGGTTTATATGATTGAATACAATTTTTTTTCTCCTTATTTTCCTTCTTGTACTTTACAACTTTTGAAATGAGTTTAGGTTATTGGTAATTTTATTTTATTTTATTTTTAAATTTTATTTATTTATTTGACAGAGACAGCAAGAGAGCGCAAGCAGGGGGAACAGTAGAGGGAGAGGGACAAGCAGGCTTCCTGCCGAGCAGGGAGCCCGATTTGGGGCTCGACCCCAGGACCTTGGGATCATGACCTGAGCTGAAGGCAGATGCTTAACCATCTGAGCCACCCAGGCACCCCGGTTATTGGTAATTTTAAAAACTCACAATAAATATTTTTCTTACAAATATTTTTCTTTAGATTACTAGTTAACTAGCTTTGCGCAGTGGCAGTATCGTAGCCAATGAGGTTTATCTGAGGCGCGATTATTGCTAATTAAATTACTAGTTAACTATATGTTTTGCGTATGAATTTTTTTCTGGCAGGCAATACAAACATATTTGGTAAAACACAGACATAAGAATAGTATATGTAGCCTGTTATTGATTTATAATTTCATTCCATTATGACTGGAGAACATACTTTGTATAATTTCGATCATTTTACATTTACTGAAGCTTGTTTTATAGCCTAGCATATGATCTGTCTTGGAAAAATGTTTCTTGAGTGCTTGAGAAGAATGTTTACTCTGCTTCTATTGGTTGGAGCATTCTCTAGATGTCAATTAGATCAATTTGGTTGATAGTATTGTTCCAGTTTTCTATATCATTGCTGATTTTCTGTCTCCTTATAGTATCCATTATGGGGAATAGAATATTAATTCTCCAACTATTATTGTTGGATTATTCATTTATCTATTTAATTTTGTCCATTTTTTCCCCCATGCATTTTGGGGATCTTGTGTTAGGTGCATTACGTTTTTAGTTGTTATAGTTTCTTGATGAATCATTTTTATCATTATAAAATGCTTTAATCTTTTAAATATTTCTCCAAGGTGTCACATTTCTCTCCAACCCACAACTACGCTAAAGCAGGTCTACATCATCTCTTGATCAAGTGATTTTCTAAAATGCAAAGTGGACCACATCACTGTCTTGCTTAAAATCTTTCTCTTCAATAACTACTAGTAAACTCCACTAGGCCCAAGAGAGGAAGTAATCGTCCCAAGATCAAACTAAGACCACGACAGAGCTAAGACTACATCCCAGGTTTCCCAACTGAATACTCCCTTTACTGTACGTACCACTGAGCAGGGTACTCTGGACTGGCTTATTCAATCTTCATTTAATTATCCTTCTTGTTTGAGAAGTTGGAAAGTCCAAAAGTCCACTTCCTATACCCACTTGCAGCCATAGTTCTGGAGGCAAAATAGGGTCTATCAATTAGAACCAACTCTTCAAGATTTGGAAGGCAAATGTGACATCTTCCAGTTACATTTTGCCTGTTCCTGACAAGTGAATTGTGCAGGCTTGCCACACAAATAACATTTTGATGTTCAGTCATCAGCATTGTCTGCCAGTGATCAGTTCTGGTGGTGACAGCAGCAGCTGTGGTTTTTCACTTCGGTTTTGGTGTGCCCTTGAGGTCATGGATGCGGCTGTAGCCTCAAAGGTACTAGCGATTCTGGTTCGTGTTTACTTTGGTTTTTGTTTGTTTTGAGAGGTGCTCTGTAAATTTTGCCCGAGGTGGGGCCGCCAGAACCATGATCCATGCTCCCAATTCTAATGGGGACCCCATTATCCTGGGCCCCAGGGTTCACACTCACGATCTTAGACTGGAGCCCACAGACCCAGTGGCACCACTATAATCCCACTTCTGGGAGTACTTAAACCCTCAAGCCCACATTCTGGATTTCCTAAACCCTGTCTTAAGGGCCTCTAGGCCAAGAATCTCCGATCTGAGCCCCTGACCCACCCAAGACCTCTAAGTCCAGTTCTGGGGCTCTGGGGCTCAGATTTGAGCACACAGACACATTGAAGATGGCTTACAGCAGCTTGGAGCCCCCATCTAGAGAACCCCACCAGACCAGGACCCCTACCTTTAATGATGCCTATGCATAGACTCACTCCAGGGTCCCTCAAGCCAAATGGGGATATTTTGGATTGGGAGGGGACTTCAAACCTGATCCTTTTTCCCCATCCCACCCATCCAAGAACTGCCGTCCCCCAGAAGCCCAAACCCTATTTCGAAAGGATCCTCAAGCCCCCAGCCAGAGGACAGGTCCCTACCACAAGGCCTCATATCACTCCTCCATGTCCAGCTGCCAGAAATCCATATTTTGTAGGGAGAGGGCAGGCTCAGGAGCAAAGCCGTCACCTGCCCCGTTTTTTCCCTCGGAAATTTTAAGTCTCAGCCATGTTCTCTGTTAGATGGTTTTTTGAAGGGTGGTGGCTCTAGGGGAGGCAGGGGCCTGGGGTGGGGGCTGGGGAATGTGCTTACATGACTGAGATGGCAGCAGCGGTGGTAACAGAACTCTGGTTGGTCAGTTCTGTATTCTTCTGGGAGTTATTCCTTGAGACTCCACCTAGAACCTGTGCCTCTTCTCCTTCCAAATAGTTTGTAGGCATGTAATTTTTTATATTAAATTCCTTCTTACATCTAAAATACAGATGGGAGGGGCGCCTGGGTGGCTCAATCGGTTGTGTCTGCCTTCAGCTCAGGTCATGATCCCAGGGTCCTGGGATCGAGCCCCACATCGGGCGCCCTGCTGGATGAGGAGCCTGCTTCTCCCTCTCCCTCTGTTGCTCCCCCTGCTTGTGCTTGGCGTGCGCTCTCTCTCTGTCAAATAAATAAATAAAATCTTCAAAAATAAATAAAAATAAAAAATAAAATACAGATGGGTTTTCTGCTCCTTACAGTGATTCCTGATTGATACAAACATCTCCCAAATTACAGTTATGACCCTTCTTAAAAACATACACATCCTCTTAAATAACACATCTTTGCTCTATAACCAGATATCTTTATTGCCCATACACAAGACTGGATGGATTCTAGGCCCCAGTGTATCTAAATTTGTGTCCCCTGGCTGGATTTTGTTGCAAGAGGTTTTTCTCCAAGTAATTTATCAGGGTGTCAATAAACAAATCAATCCCATTACTTGGTCTCTTAGCCATCTTGTTCACATATTCAAACTAATTAACTGTTAGCAATGAAATTAAGGCCTTTATTAATATGAGTTTGTTACTGTACCATCTTGCCAGTCTCTGCTTTCCCATTACCTCATTCCTCAAAAATCACAAAGAACAGACAAGTTCTTGTGCCAAAGTAGACTAGTACTATCATGGAAAAATTACTGGACTCTGAGAAGACAAGGATACTTATTTCCTCAGTTGTTTTATATCCTTGTAACAATAGCTTTTGCAAAGTTAAGTCCAGTTCTGTGTCAGATTTAGTTGATGTACAATTTGACAATGCAAAGCTATATTCAAGGGATTAATAGAGTATTCTTGATTGCCTCTTGATTGCCTCTTCTCCCTGCACCCCAACCTCAGTTCAGGGTATTCACAGGTTTCAAGAAATCCTCTGTGTTAGTCAGGATTCTTCAGAGAAGCAGAACCGACATGATATCTTTATCTATCTATATATGGATATTTATGACCATACCAATATGACACATATATATCTCCAACATGGCTATAATCATATATCCATAATTATAATTATATATTTATATCTATCTGGGAAGTCCAAAATCTGGGAAGAGTTGATGTTGCTGTTCAAGTGTAAAGGCTATCTGCTAGCAGAATTCTCTCTTGCTTGGGGAAGGTTAGTCTTTTCTTCTATTCAGGACTTCAACTGATGGATGAGGCCACCCACATTATGGCAGGTAACCTGCTTTACTCAAAATCCACAGATTTAAATGTTAATCGCACCCAAAAACACCCTCACAGAAACATCCAGAATAACATTCGGCCACATATCTGGGCATCATGGTCCAGACAAGTTGTCACATAAAATTAACCATCACGTCCTCTAAGAGTGTAGGGTGAGGGAAATAGAGCCTCAGAATGCTAGCCTCAAGTGGGTGGATACACTAGAAGTCTCCAAATTTCTCTTTTACCACTTCTGAGGAACTGCTTATGAACTGGGAAGTTCAGACAAATAGGTAGGCCCAGGACTCTAAGTATTTTATAGGATTCAAAATTTACAACTTGTGCCTCCTTTTTAAATTTCTCTTCAAATGGGACCATTGTAGATTAGGGAAGTTTTGTCAAAAGGAAGAGAAGTGGAAAGAGCAAGTAACTCCATCTGCAAGAATTATTATTGAGGTCAGACCTCATTTTTACACTACTTAAAAAATGAACGCTGTCCATTTATTTAAAAAGATAAAGATGATAATTAGACACATGGAAAAATAGTTAAGATGACACATTGTTACAGCTTATAAAAATAAAAATATCGATGTTAAAACATTACATGTTTAAACAAAAATGTAAAAAACACAAAGATATGCTAATGGCATGAGGTTTGTTTTTGGAGTAATGAAAAATTCTAAAATCGTGGTGATGGCTGTACAACTCTGTGAACATACTAAAATCCATTGCATTGTACACCTTAAGTTGGTGCATTGTATGGCACAAAATTATATCTCAATAAAACTTAACAACAACAACAACGAAAAGAACACAAAGAGCAAATAAAGGTAGCCAACGGGGAGACTTGGCAAGGAAATGGTGAGCTAAGAACAGGAATGGGATTGACGAAGGAAGGATGGGCTGCAGAAGGGCTGGTGATGGAGGCCGGTGAGACCAAGGGGAGGAGCGGTGGAAGAAGCAGGATGGGCTAGGGCCCTGGGCCCCGGGGAAAAGGTGAAGAAGGCCCGAGGGTTAACCTCTGGAAGGCGGTAATGGGTGGGGGTGGAGAGAAGAGGGCGTACTGCGCGCATGCGCCAGAAGCATACTGCGGCGGTCCCGGCGAGGCCGTGCTTTGACTGGCGTCCTCGCTGCGGCTGGAGGCGCCCCTGGTTCTCTTTCGCCTGTCCAGTTCTACCTTGGCCTGTGCAGCCACCCTAGATCCGCGGACTTTGTGCCGCCGCTCCCTCTACCCTGTCTTGCGGCGGCCAGCGCTGAGAATTCACGCTACGACACTCGGTTCAGCCAGGAGGTAGGAGAAGAACATGGAGGGCGGGGGAGGGAACTCGGGACGGAGGGATTCTTGATCTGTGTATTCTCCCGGTTCACGAGAGGAGAAAGTGGGGGACAGCATGGGTGTCAAGCCTACCAAAGGATGTTGAGCGTTTACTTCCCATTGTGAAAGGATACAGACTCTAATCAGGGTTGAGGCACATGAGCGCCGTTGTTTTCATGACGTTCTGTTTAAAGATTTGGGGTTCCTCTTACGTAGCAGAAGGTGTATTTAAAGGATGGGCCTTAGTACTAGGCTCATCCAATTAGGAGAGCTTTCTTTGCCTTTGTTCCGGGTGGTGGGTCTTACTAACGGAGTCTGAGGGTACTCCAGCTCCTCCCTGGGGGCCGGGGCGGATCCCATCTACATTTGCTCTCTGCGGTCACCTGCAGTGTTTCCACTTCCCTAGTGTATCACACGTAACTCCCATTAGGAGATGCTCGTGGTGTCTCTCCTTGAGTAGTGGGGCACAGCTATGGCGAGAAACACGTCCAGATGGCGTCAGGCATGTGTACAAGAAGCGGAGGAGGGAGGGCAGGGAATTGGAGAGGACGGCCTTGGTGCGCATGTGTGTTTGAGGGGTTGGGGAGGCGCGGGATCGCGCACGTATGTTTGAGAAGGCCTGAGGCGAGGGGGAAGGGGCCCCAGTTGGGGAGAGTGGGAGGTAAGCACGCGCAAGCTTGGGGCGTTGCGGGGCGGGGGCGGTGTCGAAAGCGTAGCTAAGAAAGCAAAGTTTCTAGTACACAGTTGGCCGCGGCAGTTGGGAGGGAAAGTGAAGGCGCGCATGCGTATTTGAGACGACATTGTGACGGTTGGCTTTAGGAGGAGAGAGGAGCGCAAGCGTATTTCAGACAGAATGACGGGGAGGGGAGGCGCGCGCCGTAGGTGTAATTAAGATTGCAAAATGGCGAGGGGGGAGGTAAGTTGTCTTTGCTTGGCCGTCTTGGGCTGGGGGCCCTGCAGAGAAGTAGAATCTGCCTTTCTGGTTGGGTGAGGGCATCTGCCGAGCGGGAGATGTCCTAGGCTGTGGCCAAATCCACGAGAAATTAACCCAGAATCTTAGCCTTTCACTGGCCTATTGATACATGGGTTTGAAAATGCCGAGGCGATGATGACTGTCCAAAAGGTCTCGGCAGCTGGCTGTGTGTAGGAAATGGGTAAAATGGGACCACTGGAGCTAGGCCACATTCCGGCAATACACATTTGGAGGGCTCTCTGTCAGACTTTGGGCCGCTGTACTCGGCTCTGGACACATTCTCTCATCCCATCAGAGTAGCAGAACACAGTGATTGCGGTATTGTTAGAATCTACTGTTAATGTTAGGCAGAAGCTCTTGATGTCCCCCACTGCAGAATATTGGTGTGAGGATTTGGCTGTGTTTCCAAGTGCTTGTTACACTTTAAACCTAGGCTTTGGGCAAATGGTAATGATAGTATGAAGGTGACCTTTCCTCCAAATTATTTTTTTCTGTAAAACTTTAGCCTAGGGAGAAGGTTTTTTGAGGTAGCCGTACTTGTCGTGGATCTCAGAGGGCTTCAGTGAGGATCTACTGTAAATCGCTAAAACTAATAGTTTATCACTTAAATATGTAGCACAAAGGGCACAGGATTCAAAATAGAAGAGACCGTTCTTGCCCAGTAATCCTAGCTGTGATCTCATACTGGTCCTTTTCCTTCTCTAAGCCCATTTCGCTATAGTAGTAATTATATTTAAACGTCTGTAGCACTTAAAACTATAATGCCAGGTACTGGTCTAAGTGCTTTTACATGTGCCCTAACTCATTTAGTACTCTCGACAATCTTAAGAAATAGCAGTACCATTATTCATATTTTACAAATGAGAAATGTGGGGGACACAAGATTAAGTGGTTTGTCCAAGGCTTTACATCCATTTGAATGGCCGAAACTGGATTTTTATCCAGGTTGTGTGACTCCATAATTCTGTGCTCTTAAACATTATGCTTTATTCCCCTGAAGTGAGGGTTCAAAATTTAAAGGACCCTTCTTTTATGATTTCAGATTTTGTTTGTAATTTACCTGTGCTGTTTAAGAAAGGAGACCTGTTTGCTCTTGGCTGCTTTTTACTCCGTGCATTGTACAGGGTTACAGCTGTAGAAGACAAAAAGTAAAGAATTGTTGATTTGGAGCCTACCGGGGTGGCCATCCTTATCTACCCTTGTCTTCTATGCTTTTTGTTCTGCAGAGGGTTTAAAATGGCCGACTGCGGCAGGCTGGACACACCCTTCTTGTTTTGCCTGATTTGAGATCTGGTCAAATGCTTTGGGACAGCGGTCTTTTGCTGCAGTAGAGATTTTTTTTTCTTACCCATTATTAATATTTCGGTGTGTTAATACAAATGTCCAATAGTAAAGGAAAGGTTCTTGTTTTTTTCTTATAATAAAAGACTGAAAATACGTGCATTTCTTTTACTATTGGTTAGGATGGATTCACTGAAGTGCAATTACTGTCAATGTTTTTAACACTCCTTATGTATTGACAGATTTCATTCTGAAAAGGTCGTACCAGTTTTTACTCACAAGCATTGAGTCGTGTTTGTTTTGAAAACTATATGTTACGGATAACAAGCAGTATTGTTTTAATTTTGCATTTCTTTGATTATTAGGGAGTTTGGACTCCTTTTTCCTCCATATACTTCTTAGCAGTTTCATTTTCTTTCATGTGATGTTAGTTCAGGTCTTATACTGATTTATCTGTTGCAGTTTTAGTTTACTGTTACTGTTACCTATTTGAAAGTGTTCTTCAAATTAAGGCTATTACTCGAATTTCTGCAGTGTTACATATTCCAGGTTATTGTTTGCCTTTTAATTTTTGTTTTTAAATTTGGGGTTAGAGATTCGAAAGCAAGTGGTCAGATCTCTATCTTCTGTTTTGTGATTTTTCTCCCATCGTTTAATTTTGAATAGTTCTCTCAATCTAGAAATTTGGTAAATATTCATTGTAGCTTTGTTTGAGGGTAACCATCAAGTTTGCGGAAAAAGGATCTGTAATTTCACCACCCAGAGATAACCCAGTGTTTATAAATGTGTTCGCGTCTTTTCATTCCCTGCATTTTTCTACAGTTGATCATATATTTGTACTATTTTATGTTGGGTTTTGAGTTTAACATTATAACATGCATTTTTCCACGTTAAACATTCTTGCAATTGTCATATAATGGTTTCATGATACCTTGATGTCTGGAAATATTTTTAAATTTTCAGTATTTTAAATGATGTAATGAATGTCTTTTCATTTTCATTTAGTTTTTATTGTTTATCTATTTTGAGTTATTTCTTTATAGACTTCCAGAATTAGAATCGTTCATCAAAAAGTTTGAACGTTGTAAAGACTTGCTATAGTAACATTCGAAAAAATTATGTCATTTTTTCTGTACCCAGTTATTTAGGTATTTAGAAAAATCTTTTTTGCTACCTTATATGTAAGAGAATGGTATCTTTGTTTTACCATCCATTTCTCTGATTCCTGGTGAGGCTGGATTCTCAAATGTTAATTATTAGCTCTTCTCTTTGTGAACTATTCGATTTGGGTCTGAATGTTATGTATTTGTAAGAGCTCTCTATTATGTGTGCTGTAAAAGGATCTATTATCCCTTGTTATTTATTGCAAATGACAAATGCGATTTGTTGCACATACACTCCCGGTATATGTTGCCATTGAGTCTTAAGAAATGTTTGTGATTCCAAGGACAACTGCTTCGTGGGATACATGTCAGATTCTTGGTAGCCATTTTGAGATAACATTTGTCTGTCCTTTAAATAGATAGCCATGTCTTTTTATTTAAAAAGAGAGCACTCTTGAGTGCCGCATAGCATTGGTACGTCCTGGCTATGGGTGTGGAAAGAAGACATGGCAACATTTTGTCCCTAATAAGAAACCAACTTAGACAAGACACAAAACAATAGAGCCCTCTCCCCCATCCATTCTGGGACTGATCTTATTTTGAATACTTAGGAGTGATCTGGAGGAGGATATGTACATAGTGTAATGTCCACATTTATAGATAACACTAAGCTCTTTGGAGGTGTAAAATGCTAGGAGGAACAAACTGCAACACCTGAGAAGGCATTGTGAGTGTGGGCTGACAGTGGCAGAATGGAACAGTGTAGGCAAGAGCAATATGATGACTTTAGGGGGAAATAGCATGTTAAGCATATAAAAGTGGCCTCGGAGACATTGGGTCCCAAGACGGGGATCTCAGTGTAAATGGCAGCAATCTGTTGATGTCATCAGCTCAGTTTGCTGGTGCAGAGACGGAAGAGCCATTAAAACCCTAGGCCTTATTAGGAACGGTATGGGACACAGGAAAAAGTCCATCCTGTCTTTGTATAAAACCATCTGAACCAAATGACTAGTTAACACTAGTAATCTCTCTTCAAGGAGTCTCTTACTATCACTCAATGTTGAAAAGTGGTTGGGAAGAGTGTATTACCTCCTTGTTTCATTTTTCTTATTTATTTTGTTATTTATGATTGGGTAATTTAGAATAGATATTCTTAAAGGTTTTGGGGTGAGGTGTCTTAGAAGGTTTCCTGAAACTGGGTCTTTTATTTGTGGTTCAGAGAATCTGTTTAATTTTATTAAGTAAACCTCTCTAAATTATCATTCCCAATACATGGGCTCTGTACTATCTCATATATTTAATAACATTCTAATTTTTACTTTTTCAGTGAAGGGTAGGGATTATAGGATTTAGAGGTGCCAAGTGATTTGTTACTTACTGCTTTTTGCTGTCCAGTTACACTGGGTTAATCCAGGTAGTCGTTAGCCCCCATTTTTCAGCATTTTGTTAGTTGCAGATGTTAAACGAGGCTTATTGCGTGTGTGGGGGAGGTTGACAGATGTATAATAAGCAAAACAAAACAACAGAGCTTGTATTGTAGAGGAGGTCGTTGAGAAGATCCTTAACAGGATGGCTCTGCCCATCCTAAGCGTGGGAGTTCCCAAACCCATCTCTGATCAGGAGTTAGGGAGAGCATGGGTATTTGAAATAGCCTAAAAGCCTTTAACCTTTGATTTCTACAATTTGTTCCTTCTCTCTCTTGATGTTACAGCCAGCAGCAGCCTGGAGCAGCGCCCCCTGGAAAGAAATTTTACATCGGCCATTATAATACAACCTGATAAGTGTTGTAGCACTTACCAGGTTGTATTGTAATTGTCTGTGTATATGCCTGTCTCCCTTCCTGTGTTCTCAGTTAGACTGTAAGCTCCTTGAGGGCAGGGACATTGTCTTCTCCAGAGCCCAGCCTGGCACATTAGTAGGCCTCAGTAAATGTTTATTGGATGAATAAATGAATGAGTCATCAACAAACATTTATCGTGTGCCTGCTAAGGTGATCTCCACAGGCTCTGGACTGTCAACTGTTTATTCAAAATGCATGTGGTCAGAAACGTGCTATTTCTTTGTGGTTATGCATCTAAAGAGTTTTTCTGAGATAATGTTGTTTTTGTGTTTGGATTTCAGTCCTTGGTATTTACAGATGTTGCTAGTGTTGCAGCTGCTGACACACTCTTCCTTGGTGGGACCTGGGTGGTAGCTGCCAGATAAGGAGCCTCATCCTCACTGCCCAGTGTTCGCTATCTGTAGACTCATCCCCTTTCCACTTCTCCTCAGGTCATCCTTCAAATGGTGTTCCTAGGTAGGGCTGCACGTTCTAGATCAGGGGTAGGCAAATGCAGCCCATGGACTGCCTGGTTTTGCAAATAAAGTTCTTCTGGAACACATGTTATTTGTTGATATTTTGTCTGAGGCCTTTCCGGCCTGCAACAGCGATGTTGAATGACTACATCAGAGACCTGGTGGCCCATAAAGCCTGTCCTTTACCGAAAAAGATTGCCTGCCCAGCTTTGGATCATTACTCGACTGTGATGGTTTCATATGCCTCTCCATTCACCAAAGATATTTTTAACGTCTCAGAAACTCATTTATTTACCTCATTCATTATTGCTTATAACAGGTCTTTTTCCTATTTTACAGGTGGGCCAGCTAGAACACACTTCAAACTATATTGATTATAAGGCCTCCACCAGGGTCCGACAGTTAGTCAGTTATACCATGTACTTCAGCATCAAGTTTGGAGCTTCATCTCTAGAAATTCCTTTTGTTAAATCCTAACCTGAAGACCGTGGCCATATCATACCTTGGTGCCTTATCCCTTGCCCCCCCCCCTTCCTGCACAGGTCTTTGCAATGATAATATGGAAAGTAACAAGTTAATGTGAGCTAAGGCAGAAAGGTAGGCCAAGGCAAATGTTTACGGGGTCTGAATGCTAATACACAAAGAAATGGGATTTCTGAAATACTCACTTACTTAGACTTCATACGGTTAGGGAGCCTGGACTTCCAAGAGCTTAGGGCCTTCCCCTTTACCCTCTCTAACCTTCCACACATTGTCTTGGAAACCTGCCTGTGGGTGTATTGTGATTCATTTCATGTCATTAAAAAGTTGAGAGCTCCCAAGTCCAATTCAAGAAAGCTAGATCTAAAAAACAAACAAAAAGGAAAGAATATAGGATAGTCTCATTCTAGGAGTAAAATGGTGGGAAAGGCCCTTACAGCATTGTTTTTCAAGCTGCTTGTTGGATTTTCCCCAGCATTTTATTGTGAAAAATTTTAAGTGTATGTATAGAAAAGTTGAAGAACTGTACATTGAAAATCCATCTACCTACCAACTGGAGGTTAACAATTAACCTTGCAATTAACATTTTGCTATATTCGCTTTATTGTGTATTATCCATCTTTGTCGGATAGGTTTTTTAAATGCTTGTGGTGGTGTCCATTTTGAGCTCATCTGTATCTGACCCACATGGTACTGAAAAGGAGTTTCTTTTTATTCTTATCTGTATTTCCCAAGTGGGAATGGATACTACTGCAGCCTAACTATGTATAAGCAGATCTGCCTGGTAGTGAGATTCCAAGGGAGAGAAACCATTTGACGCCTGAAAGAAAATGTCTACAGCTCACTGTTTACTGGAAATGGTAGGACAAGAAAAGATGGAAGTCCAGGTCCAGTGTCAGTGAATCTTTCCAATCAAATATTGCCCTACACTTCATTCACTTCACTGCCTGGGGGGGAGGGGAACAGGTCGTTTTCTGAGCAGCTTCTGCTTGGTTCTTAGACTTGAAGGAAAAACAACAAAGTCACATCAGAATGCCCCCTAGGTGATTAAGGATTAGCACAACTCCTTGGAATTTTAGCAGATGGATTTTTAATTTGGAATACTGTCGAATCATATTCTTTAGGACCTTTTCTATTAGCAGTAGCCGCAGAGTCAATTTGGGAAGCAACCACGAACTGAAATCTTAATTTCTCTTCGTCATGAACATGATAATGGTAAACGTTACCTGTTTGTGTCTGTCTCCCTTCATTTAAGCTCAAGGGCAGAGACTGTATCGTACTCATCTTTGTAATTCTCATGGTAATAAATGTTTGAATCATTGAAAATGTATTGTTGCATTTAATACCTATCACATGGGCAAATTTAAAAAAAAAATGTTATACTGATGTTGGTGGGGTTATCCAGTTTCAGTATAATCCTTTGTAGGGGCAGTTTGGTAATATATAATGTGGCAGAATAAAAATTGTATGTCTTTTTGACCACGCAGTTTCATTTTTAGGGATATACCCCAAAATATTCTAAAGAAATCCTAAAGAAATATTCTAAGGATATTCTAAAAGATGTAGTTATGGGAATGTTTACAATGTTCATAGCAATAAAAAATGGAAAAAAAACTTACCTCTTCATGAGTAATCATTTGGGTAGATATATTTTGATGTATTCATGTAATATTACAACATGGCATTAAAAGTAAAAATAGTCTTGTAGACGAATATTTTACTTGGAAAGATGTATCAAGTATATTAATTGAAAAAAAAGCTAGAGGGCAATAGTATGGTTTTCATCCAGTTTTTGTGAAATAAAAATTCATGTTTGTTTGTGTACGTGAAAGTAATTGGGAGAACATACCCCGAGTGTTAAACTTTCTGGGATTCTGGGATTTTTTTACTTTCCATCCTTAATATATTTCTGGAACTTTTTTCACGGTGTGCATTTATGACTTTCACAGTTAGACAAACATGGAAAGTATTTCCATTTTGAAATTTGTTGACCTAAACAGAAGTGGAATAAATTGGGCAGCAAGGGGGCTGGAAACTGGAGTAGTTTAGTTTAGTTTAGTTTAGTTTAGTTTAGAAGAGAGCTAGGTGGAGTGGGAGAAGGGAATGGAAATAAGATCTCTGTCTTCAGAGAGCGGTACTAACTACTAACTACTCTATTCTTGGCTCCTTAGTGCAGCATTTCATGGTAAGGTGTCTACACTGACATTTGCCATTTATTTCCCAATTACGCCCGGTACAAATTTCTCTCCCCTTCTTGTCCCTCTGGGCTGTAATAAGCTCAGGAATTGCCGGCGGCAGCTGCTGCTTGTACGTGTGCGGATCGTGCTCTAGTAACAGCTGCTTTACTTTATCCAGTAAAGAGATGGCTCAGACTCATCAAGTCTCCTGCTCCCCTTCCCCAGTGCTTGGCAGCGTGAAATCTTCCCCACTTGCAGCGGGAGAGCTTTCTGCCAGGCTCTCAGGATTAGTAGTAGATTCTAAGACATTTTTGCTGATGGGGAATGCAGTAGTTAAAAATGAGCCCTGAGAAACTGCTCCTTGAATTTTCCTGGGGTTCAAGGGTTGTCTGCCTCTCACTGGGTAACAGGAAACCTAGTTGCATTTGCTGGTACTGCCAGCATCTAATGATTTTAATAGCTTGGGCTTTGGGCCATTGCTGAATTGCCAGATTTCTGGGTTGCTTTTCATGCTAAGCAGCTAGGGACTGGGAAACTTTGTGGCGTAGGCTGCTTTCTTAGAAAGAAAGGACCCCTGGGGATCTTTGGCTTATCCTGTGTGGGTCTTAGGTCTCAGAGTCCCAATCCTTCCTAGTAGTTGAGTCTTGGGAGATAGGGGAGTAACCATTGCCTCACCTAGCTCCCTTTGATCATTTTGATAACCTGGGCAGCGGATAAGGCAATAGATAACGTTTAATTCCTTTCACACACAGGTAAAGTGAGTCCTGGTGGGAGTTGAGATTGTGAATGACAGGCCTTGGCCCAGAGCCCATACCTTTCCTCATTAGTGTGAACCAAATGCCATCCAATGACTAGATGGAGGTTTCATCCACTTTTAGGGAGCTCTTTTTAGCCAGGATTACAGAATGGAGGGTCATAACTGCCAGACAGAAAAGGGCCCCTAAGAAATCAAGTTTACCCCCACTCTGAGGTAGGGATATTGAAGTCTAAAGAGGGAAAGACTTGCAGGCAGCTAGGCAGATCAGCATGAGTTAATATCTGAGTTCTAACACTTTGATATAGCCAGTTACTTGGTGTCTCTGTACCCGACTTACCACATTTAAAATGGATACATGAATTCTTACTAAATAATAATTGTAGGCATTGCAACAGTCTGCCAGATAAAGAAGAGAGCAAAATCTGAGGTCCATGGTGTGGGCTGGATGACTTGACCAAGGTGGTAAAAGTAAATTCGAAGCTGTATCTCAAACCTTGGCTATTCTGTCTTAACATTTCTTTCTTCTTCCTTCTCTCTATCCTACAGGTGACACCCAAGTGTGATCAGAAGCCATGCCACTGGTGAAGAGGTATATTGAGCCCCGCCTGGCCCAGTGAGGTTACCTGAGAATTGGGAGAGGCTTAGATCAACATCCTGCACATCCTGTTATCAAATCATTGTGAAGTCTTGGTAAGTGGCTAGTGGCTTTGGCAGGCTAGCCCAGTTGGTGGGAAGGGGCAGGGAAGGTGGTCTTAGTAGGTATTAGGCGATTACTTGATAGTTTCCCCATCATGGTATAAATAAAAAAGGTCTTAAAATGTTCAGACTACACTAGAAAATAATGAGCCTAACCTTTCATTTTTTTCATTCTCCCATTTTTGCAGATGGGCGAATTGCTTATCTTGCCCAAGATTATAGCTAGTTGATGTAGGAAGTGGATTTGAATGTAAGCCAGTACTGTGTCTTCTACCCAGTGCTTCCTCTAGGTCCCATTTGAGTCCAAGGAGGCCGTGTGAGACAGAAATGTTTTTTATTCCACACCGAAAGATTTTTATAATAGCCTCTGAGGTGGTTCTTGCCCAACGAAGTAAATGTTCATGGTGTAAAAAATTTTTATGCAGAAAATCACCTGGGATGCCTGTTAAAAATGCAGATTCCTGGGCAGCCAGAAACCTTGTCATTGGTCAAGAGCAACACTAAGACCTACCTGTCACTTATATTGAGGCTTCCTGCCCAGTGGGTTCATCAGCAAGCCAGAACGAATCACCATTGCCATGGTTGTCCTTGTGAGGCAGTTGGGAAGCCTTGGTAAGTCGCCGGTGGTTTGGGTGGGGGTCCCCCAGTTGGGGGTAGAGAAGAGATGGTTGTGATGCAGCGCTTCCTCCCTTCCTTAGACAGTTATTAAGTGCTCACTAGTTGCCAGAGACTATTCTAGATATTAACAGAGTTCTGCCATCGTGGAACTTTCATTCTTGTGAGAGTAGACAAAGGAATAAAGAACGAGTAAAAGCAGAAAGTATCATAAATGTTGAAGTTTTTCCATTACGGTATGAAAATTGTGTTAAAAATGGGTAGGTTAGACTAAGCAACACCTTGTGTTTTTTCCCCACTTCCCATTCTCCTTTTTTTGTTTTAAGATTTTATTTATTTATTTGGGGGAGAGAGAGGGAGAGCAAATGAGCACGCACAAGTTGGGGAAGGGGCAGAGGGAGAAGGAGAGAGAGAATCTCAAGCAGACTCTGCACTGAGCGTGGCGCTCGACGTGGGGCTCGATCCCACGACCCTGGGATCATGACCTGAGCCAAAATCAAGAGTCGGATGCTTAATTGCCTGAGCCACCTAGACTCCCCCAACCCATTTTCCCTTTTAATACTTGCCACTGTCTTTCAGTACATTGGAGGCTGAGCAAGGTGAGTATGGGGCGGTCATAGATGATGAAAGCAATCTTCTTCCTTTTTGTAACCCCTCACTAGGCTGAATTGGGAAGGATGTCTTTCAGAAAGTGTTTGAGAGAGTCTGCCAGCTCTTCCACACGAGTGAACATGTAGCAGAAGAGGGGGTCCTCTCGGTGATTAAGGTAACACAGTGATTAGGTAAATAGGGGAGGAAAGGATGACTGCCCTGACTCCTGTCAGGGAGGCTCGTAGAAATGTCCTTTCCAGGGGCCAGTACCTTTAAAGCCTGCAGTTTATTCCATCGTACATCCTCCTCAAAACAGTTGGGGTAAATTACATGCTTACCCAGTCTGTGATCACCCCTGCAAAGGATCAGGACTGAAACGGTTCCCAACTAAACTGGGTCGCATAAGTTACATGTCACAGATAATATCAACATGACACTAATTATTCTCCCCTTATGGGGAGAGTCTCTTCTTTCTAACCAGATTTGTTGGGAGTTTTTATCAGACAATGGAGCTACATACATCTTGTCAAAAAGTCAGCTCATAGCAGAGGCTCATCATTTCAGCAGCAGCCAAGTATATAGCACTTTGGGTTACTAATTTCAGAGGCAGCAGGGTCTTCTGGATTGCATTTAAACCAGCTGGACTAGTATTCATTTTTGGCTCCTAAGGGGTCCAGCCCCTGATAGGCTCCAGGGAGCACTTAAATGATCCAGAGTTAAAGTGGGCAGCATATATAGTATGACCATCCTTGGGCTATCTCTGTAGAGGCCCACCCCTACTCTAAGCTTTTTTAAAGAATGCCAGATCATTCCTTGGTGTCTGCCATTTTTCATAAAAGTAATAAAGGTCACCTTTTCCCGTGAGGATGGTCTTGAGATGGTGCCTTCATAGCATAAGGTTCCCCATATGATCTCTGGAATACTTGGATAATTCCTACTGACAGAATTAGATAATTAGCCTGTGCTGGGAACCTGAATGATAAGGAAAATTGTCTTTTTCCTAAGGAGAAGCCTGGGATAGCCATTCATACAAAGGGAGTTCCCATATTCCATGTCCTTCACGAGAGAGAGAGAGAGAGAGCACAAGCAAGGGGAGTGGCAGGCAGAGGGAGAAGCAGGTTCCCCACTGAGCCGGGACCCCGATGCAGGACTCGATCCCAGGCCCCTAGGATCAGGACCTGAGCCAAAGGCAGACGCTTAACCGACCAAGCCACCCAGGCATCCCCCTTCACAGCTTATTTTAAAATGACATTGGTCTTGTATAAGGATATGAATGTTAGCATGCTGTCAAAACCCAAGTCTTCCTATCTCTTTCTCTATATGGGCCAAAAGGGATCATATAAATCTGGCTTTTGCTATCTGAACCTCAGTTCTTTCCCTAGGGTTTCCCTATTCCCATTATCTGCTCTTTATTTTTGTGACAGCAAGTCTGTTGTGGTTTTCTTTTTTTTTTCTTTCTCTTGTCGTTCTCTTTAGGCTAGCCATCACCCCTGTAGTAGCACCCACGCACAACTTGTGAACATTTTCTGCCGGAGGTCATAGAACAGTAACAGTGATGAGCAGTTAATTATAGGTGCCTTTTATGTTCTAGGCAAGGGCTTTGCATGTATTTGTCATCTCATTTTAACTTAACAGTAACCCTGGGAAGTGTGAATTGTTCCTACTTTACAGACAGTAAAGCTGAGCCCCAGAGAGGTGGTGTCGCCAGCATGCCACAGGGAGCCAGTGGCGGAGCTGTGTGTGTCACACTCCAAAGATCTGAACCACCTTTCTGTCCTTGAAGCACTAGATGTGAGGAGTGTGTTCTTCATTGTTGGGACTTCCTGCCTCCTCGTGGGGCCCTTGTCACTGTCTTCTTCCGGGACACGGGGGCACACGTGAAGGGTTTGTTTTCAAAGGGGGATTCGGATGTGCAAGAGAGATGGTGTGAGGGCTGTGTAGGTCCCTTCAGTTTCTAGAAATAACCACTCTGGGTGAACTAGCCTTTATTTCCCCCACCCCCCGACACAGCTATTCACTGTGTGCTTATCTTTGTTGGCTTTTCACCTTTCGGTATTCCCCCCACCCTCCTGCATGATGTTTATGTTGCACAATTTCTGTGAGGTTATGTTTTCTTCTACCCCCCGCCCCCCACAAAAAGGAATCACAAGAGTCAGAGTCACAACTGAAAATCCACTGCTTACAGAATGTTAGCTCAGGTGCAGGTGCACCAAGGGCTGGAGCAGCTTGCTGTGCAGATCAGTGTGTCCCAGCTGGAATTCAGCATAAACACTGCATTCTGCTAGCAGACAGTACTGATAAGATTACTCTTTGTATGTATCGAGTGGAAAATAACAGGGATACCTATCCGTTAACACTTGAGTAAATTTTATTGCTGGTAAGGTAACGGTGTCCAGATAGTTGGCATAGACTGAGGTTTGGCAAGCTATGGCCCACATGGCAGCGGCTTGTTTTTTCAAATCTGCAGTTTTGTTGGAACACAGGATCATGCTTATTCTCTATTGCCCACGGTTGCCTTTTGGGCTGCAGTAGTGCCGAGTATTTGTGATGGACTCTGTGGTCCACGGCCTGAAGCGTTACCATCTGGCCCTTCACAGAAAGTGTGCCAACTCCCGGCACAGGTTAGATGTACTGTGTCTACCTTGCCTCCCCGCCTCCCATTTTCTTTTCTGTGGGGCTTGAATTTACAGCTAACTAATACTAGAAAGTACAGAATTTCATAGTGGTCAGTTTGCCTCTGGATTTCCTCCCACTCAGATTAAGTTCACCAAGAAAGCACATTCACAGATTGGGCCATACGTACAGAAAGAACTGTGTTTCATATGCCTCATTGTAGTTAATCATTTATCATATATGGTGCCCCCATTCTTTTCCTTCTTTTCAGGGATAACCATTTTAAAATTTAGCCATTCTCAGGTATCCAAAAAGTTAGAACTCATGTTTCCTAATTATGACTTTACCTAATTTTAATACATCTCCCCACTCTGTAGCATGAAAGCAGCCGTAGACAATATGGAAACAAATGGGCAGGACTGTGTTCCAGTAAAACGTCATTTACAAAAACAGATAGCAGCCTGGAATCAGCCCATGGGCTATAGTATGCCATCCCCACTCTACATTATACATACAAGAACAAGAGGATTTGAGGTGTTCCATTAAAGCAAACATTAAGGGTAATTTTTACTCAACAATTCGTGTGATACAGGGGCGCCTTGGTGGCTCAGAACGTTAAGCGTCTGCCTTTGGCTCAGGTCATGATCCCAGGGTCCTGGGATCGAGCCCCGCATCAGGCTTCCTGCTCAGCGGGAAGCCTGCTTCTCCCTCTCCCACTCCCGCTGCTTGTGTTCCCTCTCTCACTGTGTCTCTCTCAAATAAATAAATAAAAGTCTTAAAACACACACACAATTCGTGTGATACAGTAACAGTAACACGCTGTGCTTAGTCAGCCCTCCAAAGTGGCTTGTGATCTATGCATTATGTACATGACTTAAAAGTCATCTAAATGTTGGCTCGAGTTCTTGGTAGAGTGATAGCATTTTCATGGGGCATGTTATTACCATCCTTTAGAGGATCCTCTTCTTTGCCATAGTTTTCCTTTATTTATTTATTTTTTTTTTTTTTGATACAGTTGACAGAGTGTTACATTAGTCTCAGGTGTACAGCATAGTGATTTGACAAGCCTTTATGTTATGCTATGTTCACCACAAGTGTAGCTGCCATCTGTCACCATACAATGCCATTATGCTACCATTGACTGTATTCCCTGCACGGTACCTTTTATCCCCATGACTTATTCCTGTTTAGATTACTACAGCTTTGAAGTGTTATCTTGAAATCTGGGATTGCGATACCGGATTGCGATACCTCCAGCTTTGTTCTTTCTCAAGATTGCTTTGGCTATTTGGGGTCTTTTGTGGTTCCATACAAATTTTATTTTATTTATTTATTATTTAAAGATGTATTTATTTGCGAGAGAGAGAGAGAGAGGGAGCGCAGGAGCGGGAGGGAAGGCTAGAGGGAGAGGAAGTGAGGGAATCTGAAGCAGACTCTGTGCTGAGCCCAGAGCCCAGGACTCAGATCTCACAACCCTGAGATCATGACCTGAGCTGAAACCAAGAGTTGGGGCACTTAACCGATTGTTTCACCCAGGCACCCCCCCCATATGAATTTTAGTATTATTTGTTCTAGTTCTGTAAAAAATACTGTTGCTATTAATAGGGTTTGCATTGAATCTGTAGATTGCTTTGGTTAGCATGGACATTTGAACTATTAATTTTTTCAATACATGAGCACAGAATATGCTTCTGTGTGTTTGTGTCATCTTCAATTTTTTTTTATCAACATTTCGTAGTTTTGAGAGTATAGGTTTTTCACCTCCCTGGTTACGTTTATTCCTAGGTGTTTTATTATTTTGGATGCAGTTCTAAATGGGATTGTTTCCTTAATTTCTCTTTCTGCTATTTTGTAATTAGTGTATAGAAATGGAACCAATTTCTGTGTTGCTAGAGCTTTCAGTATTATGTTGAATAAAAGTAGAGAGAGTGGATGTCCTTGTCTTGTTCCTAATGTCAGAGGAAAAGCTCTGAGCTTTTCACCATTGAGTATGATGTTAGCTGTGGGTTTCTCATAGATGGCTTTATGTCGAGATATATTCTCTCTGAACCCACTTCATTGAGAGTGTTTAATGCATGTTGAATTTTGTCAAGTGCTTTTTCTGCATTCATTGAGATGCTCTTAGGATTTTTATCCTTCGTTTAGTTAATGGTGGTGTATCACATTGACTTTGCAGATACTGAACCATCCTTGCATCCCTGGAATAAATGCCACTTGATCGTGGTTAATGATCCTTTAGTGTACTGTTGAATGTGGTTTGCTATTGGCCTGTAGTTTTCTTTTTTTTGTAGCTTCTCTGTCTGGTTTTGGTACAGTAGGTTTTTCTTTGCATGACTTGGAATATTTATTTCATTTTTTTTCTTATCCTTACATTATCAGCTCTAGTGTTTACCTTCTTCACCAGCGTATGTTTTCTACGCTACTTAGGCCCATAAGTGAGTCTAATACAGAGATTACTTTAGATGTATTCACTGTCCTATCCTAAGGTCAAGGTAGGAAGCTGTGATTTTGATAATTTGCTGTGTCAAAACCTAAATTTCTCATTCAGGATAGGAGGAATTAATCTTTCCAATGATATCTAAAAATGGGATCCTGACAAAGGAACAGGTCTCTCAGTCAAGTAAGTGATTATTTTGATGTGGAAGTGAATATTTTTTTGACCTTTTTTTGTATGTATTATATTTAGTAGCTTTCTTAACAATGACCCTACCTTGCATTTCCAGAAGAAAATCTTTTACTTTTCAAGGATTTTGAATTAGGTTTCCTAAATTTGCTACTTTTAATGTTAGTCTCTATTTTATTTTTTTACTACTTTGTTTCTGTGTTCAACAGTTGGAGTGGCAGGCAGTCTTTGTCAGTTGTTGAAGTTAGGATCATTAATGAAATCTTGTTGCCGTATCTTTTCCGTTCAGCAGATCTCAAACGTGTTCCACACCATTAAATAGACTTTCATAACATCTCTTTTAAAATGGCACATAATATGCCACTGCATTAATGTAAAATTTTAATTCTTATCTAATATTTGGGCTCTTGTTCAGTTACTGCTCTTTTAATATTGTACAAATAATGATGTGAACCTCTCTGTAGATAATCTCTGCACGTATCCATATGTTTACCAAGGTTGAATTAAATGTTCACTCCCTAGCCTAGTAATGTATGAACATGCCTATTTTGTCATATCCTCACCAATATGCTATTATATAGTTTTTTTTAAAAAATCGGCCAATTGCAAAGGTGAAAAGTGGTCTTCCTTGATGTTTTAGTTTTTATTTCTTTGATTTCCTAGTGAGAAAGAGCAGTTAAAAATCTTACTGGGGACTTTTTTTTGATTTTCTTTTTTCACACAGATTTTGAATCTACCATAGGTTGTAGCTCTTTTCCCCAATTTGGTGTGGAAGTTGTTTTTTATTCTATTTTATTTATTTTTATCCAAGTATAATTAAACATACAGTGTTATTAGTTTTGGGTATACAATATAATGACTCCGCAATTCTGTACATTACTCAGTGCTCCTCGTGGTGAGTGTTCTCTTAATCTCCTTCACACATTTCACCCATATCCCCACCCGCCTCCCCTATGGCAACCACCAGTTTTGTTCTCTATATTTGTAAGAGTGTTTAGTGTTTTTGTTGTTTGTCCACTCTCACTACTTTTATTCAGTGTAGTACTGGAAGTCTTAGCCACCACAGCAGTCAGCCAAGAAAAAGAAATAAAAAGCATCCAAATTGGTAAAGACACAGTTAAACTGTCACAGTTTGCGGATGACCTATTATACATGGAAAAAAAACAACCCTAAAGTCTTCACCAAAAATCTATCTGAATGAATGAATGTAGTAAAGCTGCAGCAGGAGTTTATGGGTCTTCATGTTAGGATTGTGCCGTTTATGTAACAGAGCTACTCTTTCTGCTTAGCTTTTGTGTCTTATTTCTCCCATTACATATTGGCTTGCCTATTCGTTTTATCTTTTTTAATCCTTCTCACATTTGTAGCTTATTCATCAGTTCTGCTTACTTCAGGCTTCACCTTCATCGTTTAAGGTTTACTTGCCTATGGCCCTCATGGCCTCACCTCTGCATCGCGTTGGCTTGCTGTGTGTTCTCTCCGTTTCAGTTCCCTTTGCTACTATGATGATTTTAAGAGCCCACTTCTAATACTGAGAACACAAATTTTATTAGGCCTGACTTAACTTAGTTATTTATATATATAATGCCCATAGCAGCAGTTTGTGGGTCTTCACTGTAGTGTTCTGCAATTAATAGGATTATTATACTCTGTCTCTGCTTTTTTTTTTTTTTTTTTTTTTTTTAAACTCTGTTTCATTTCTTCCGGCTTCTAATGCATCCATTAACACCTGGCTTCTCCATCCTTTATTTCAGAGGTTTCAATTGCAAATGCCTGCGGGGTCCAGATGGGGTAAATGCATAATATGGTTCTGATTTTTATTTTCTCCCTTTTTCTTCAGATGCTGCTTAGGGGTTTTGGCAGGGAGCTTTTCTTTTGTTTATCTACTTTGGATAGAGACCTTGGAAAAGAGATTTCTCTACTCTTAAAAACAAGAGTGCAAATTGGATGGTAAGAGCAGCTGATGCTTCTGAGAGGATTAGTAGGGAGTGTTTGGGATTGGTGTTCCATGGAACATGCACCTTTGATACAAAGAGCAAGGCCATGATTCCTTGGCTCTTGATTGTTACCCAGTGGGAAACCTGCCCAATATTGACAGGACTTTCAGCTCTCTACAAGGAGCCTGATTTTGAGCTGTTAGTTTGCTTTTTTTAAGATTTTATTTAATTATTCATGAGAGGGAGAGAGGCAGAGGCAGAGGGAGAAGCAGGCTTCCCGTGGAGCAGGGAGCCCGACATGGGGCTCAATCCCAGGGACCCCGGGATCCTGACCTGAGCCGAAGGCAGACGCTTAACCGACTGAGCCACCCAGGCACCCCTGTTAGTTTACTTTTTAAAAAAAAATTCCACAGGCCAACACAGCATGTTTATAAATGTTTTTATGACCTCATAGCATCTGCTTCTTCATAATTTTGGCTTATTCGTAGTGTTACCTTCTTCACATGTGGTATTAAGAAATGGGTGTGTAGCCCTACCCATTCAACTTAACCTGGAGGTTGGCAGTTTCCCTTAGGTAGTGTTTAAAACTAGGTCACAGTTTTGAATGGAATTGTATAGATTAGACTAGGATAGATTAGGAAAGAATAGATCTGACAAAGGGTAAGTACTCTGAAATTTAAGACACTGAGTGAAACATTGTGAGCAAACTGCCATCCTCTGGTCTGGATCCACACCTCTAGACCCACATAATATTTCCTAAAAATCTGGTGGTTGTCGGGCTGGGGTGGGCGGAGGTAATGGGGAGTTGTTTAATGGGTATGGAATTTCAGTTTTGCAAAATGAAAAAGTTCTGGAGATTGGTTACTCAACAATGTGAATATACTTAACACTACTGAACTTAAAAGTGGTTGAGATGGTATTAAAAAAATCGAACAAGAATAGTCCGTTAAACAGAAAATTTACACAGTCATCAGAATATCCTTGGGTATGTTAAATATAACACCTTCAAATTTTAAGAGTTTCATGACCATCCTTCCATTTCTGTATATCAAGGGTCTGTTCATAAACTGTGGCCCACCACTTCTTTTTTTTAACAGCCTGTGAAGTGAAGATGTTTACATTTTTTAATGGTTGGGAAAAAATCAAAAGGAGAATAGTATTTCGTGACATGTGAAATAGACAAAAACTCAAATTTCACATTTATTGGAACATAGCACCACATTGATGTATGTATTGTCTATGCCTGTTTTATGCTACAGTGGCAGAAGAGAGTAGTTGTGACAGAAACCATATGGCCTGCAAAGCCTAAATTATTTACTACCTGGCCGTGAACAGGAAAACTTTGAGGTTGCTCTGTTGCAGTAATTACCAGATCCCTCACAAGGACCATCTTTGATGGCTTTAAATGCCTAATTAGCAGTTTTGTTATGGACTACTGGGGACTGTTACTCTATTCTAATATGTGGGGGAGAATCTCACTTCCTTTTTCCCAAATGTGACTCCCTAACGAATTCTGGAAAACTCACATTCTTGGTGAATTTCAGTTGTGGCTGGAATCCTGTTAGCAATTTCCGGTATTGTTGGCTCCTTTGTTTTCAAGAAACAGACTTCTCTTGGGCCATCCAAGCAATCTGGACCACCCACAGCTATGCATGGCCAGCCTCTAAGATAGACCGGTATCTCCTGTGAATTCAAATACAGAAAACCCTATATTCGAATAAAGACAGTTTAAAAAATAAAATTCAGTTTCCCCTCTGAGGAAAATGTTTTGAGGATTAGAAATGGTGGTTCCAAGACTGATCTGGGAATGTTCGCAACAGGGGTTTGTATCCTACATCTAGTGTGTCACCTTTAACATCTTTTTTTAAAATACAAACTAGATATAGTTAATGTATAAACACAATGCTTTGATATACATTGTGAAATGATTACTATAGTCAGATGCCAAACAAACTTCTCACTTAGTTAAAATTTTGTGTGTGTGTGAGGAAAGCACCTGAAATCTATTCTCAGCACATTTTCAGTATTCAGTACAGAATTAATTGTAGATACCATTTCATACATCGTGTCTTAATTCCTCTTTATCTCTGCTTTTTTCTTTTTTTTGTCTCTGCTTCCTCATATTTATTCAAGCTTTAGTTTACCTCCTTGCTTTGTATTCTGCCTCCTCATAAATTTTCAATTACTCATCATTAAACCTTGCTTATCTCTCTGGTGTCCTTGGCTGTATCTCATGTTTCCCAATTCTGTCCTTCACGGTTCAACTCCCTTGGCTATGGGCCTCACTCTCTTTGCATTCCACAAACTTCATTGTTCAGTGCAAGAATTTCAGTGTCTTAGCTCACGCCTGCTTGGGTAGTCACTTTCTGAGTCATGCAATAACACAGCACTTGGGTAGTGTATTCTACACCTGGTACATTCTACCTTGGATGACAGGACAGGTGATATTCTAAAATTTATTGCTGTCTATAGGACTGCCCTTTCTCCAGAACTACCTATGGCTGGGACAGTTTACCTTAGATGGGACTATGAGTGTGGCTACCGTTTAATTCAGATGTGTTTGTATTACATTTTTACATCTTGACCTCTAAGTAAATAATGCTCCTCATTTCATATATTCATTTCTAAAGATGCTCTGTCTATACTTTTGCAACTTGTACTTAAGTATAAATGTTGGAGAGTAACTAAGTCAAGCCAGATACCGTAGTCTGAAGTAATGTCATAAAGCTACTTTTAAAATTTACTTTCCAATTTCAGAAGCACTCACCTATCATTGATCTTCCTTGGCCACTTGAATTTTTGTCTGTCATTGTGATTGTGTCACAACTTATGTTCATTGGGTGTGTGGTCCTGCGACAATAACTTTGCCACGGTTCGAGGCTCTTAAAACATTCCAGCCAGGGTTGTGGTGGGTGTATCTACTCCCTGTCCCACCACCAGGTAATAACCAGGTCTAAATATTTCACATTCCTGCCAGAGTTCTGTTCATGTAGCCCAACTCCATACTGTTTTCTAAATTACATAGGATTTCTGGTTTCAAGAAATAATACACAGGCTTAGGTCAAGAAACAGGCGTTTATCACATAGATACACATAGTGAGGAAAATAGGGATTTCAGAGGAATCTCAAGAACAGAGTGGCATGGAAATTCATCTATGGTGGCTCTAGGGACTTAAGCACATGGACTTAGTGGACCCTTTCCACTGTGCCATTGACTTGATTCAGCTTTCTGTTCTCCTGTCTTATCTACATTTTTCCTCATTCATCATCCCTATGCCTGGCTTTGCCCTTACCTTGTCTTTGGTGACGCTTTTAGCTTCAGATTTCACCGTTAATTACTTGTTCTCATGGTTTCTTCTCAAATTTCAAAGAGTTTGAGCGCATCTAATTGGCTTAGTTTATCTTTATTTGTGCAGTGCTTTTTCATGCTTAGACAGTTCCTAAGCTGCTGGCAGTGTATGGATTGATCCCACCAGCTGTACTCAGTGGAGAGGGTATAATACTGGATGATGTGAAACAAAACCTGATCATAAAGGGCTGTGCTACAGCTTGACAATAAACAGGTCTTTAGAAGGAAATGGGTGGGGGCACCTGGGTGGCTCAGTCGGTTAAGCGTCCGACTCTTGGTTTCGGCTCAGGTCGTGATCTCAGGGTCGTGAGATGGAGCCCCGCGTCGTTGGGCTCTGCGCTCAGCAGGGAGTCTGCTTGCGATTCCCTCTCTCCCCCTCTGTCTCTTCCCACCACGCACGCATTCTCTCAAATAAATCTTTTTTTTTTTTTTAAAGAAGGAAACGGGTATATGTTCGGGAGGAACCAGAACTGCCACGTTTAGTCCAATGATTCTCAGATTTGTGAATCTATTATCTATCCATGTTATTCCATGCCTGTTGGAATGGTAACTGTTGGAATGGTAAACTGAGAACCATGCCTAGCCATAATAGAGACAAAATCATGCTTTCCAGTGTCAGCACCTCATGGTTATATCAGAATTTGTACATCATTGTCAGAAGAGAAACTGTCAAACCCTACTTGCTTATTTCTTTGAAGTCGCTGTAATACCAGCCACTACCGATTGCCTCAGAGCTTTACCCTAAATGGGCGCATGTCTGAGTCACAAAGGCAATTGCATAACTAGTGGCTTTGCCACAGTATAAGCTGGACTTCTAAAAAACGTTTCATCCTGGTTTGTGGCGGGGATTGTGTGTGATTTTCACACAACAGTCATACCCTAACAATTGCAAATGTTTCTTTTTCTGCTGAGGGTCTGTTTCATGCAACTATATACCTGATACTAATTTCTATACTAATTTGATTCTTTTGGTCCCAAGAAATGAAGAATCACTCAGCCTGCCATGTTAATAGGGGTTTATTTTATGTAAACATGTGGAACATGGTGGAGGATGGGGATTTAGTGGGACTCTAAATGAACAATATTAAATGTGGGAACTAACTAGATTCAAGCAGCCCTGAGGTACCTTAACGGCAGTACGTTTGGATAATTATTCTTGTGCTTCACCATTGACATCACTTGGCTGCTCTACATTTGCTGTTTCCCCTAGCTTAGTGGTTTTCTGTCACGGTTGCACTTTAGAATTAACTGGGGGACTTTAAAAATAAACCAGAGCAAGATGTTGTGATTTAATTGGCCTTGAGCGGCCCCAGGCACCTGCATTTTTAAAACTCCTCACTCTTCATTCTTCTTTTGTGATCAGCTGGCTTCCCCAACCTTTATTTCTCTACCTTCTGTGTCCTTGTGGTACTCATGGATTGTAGTACCTCATAAATTTGCCTTCTCTTGGCCTTCATGAACTCCCTTAGAGAAGAGGCTATGGATAGGACAGCATCATTGAAGTGTCTACTACAAGGGTTGCCAAACATTTTTTGTAGAAGTCCCAGATAGTTCATACTTTGGGCTCGTGGGCCACACAGTCTCTTCTGCAACCATTCACTTGAAGAAACAACCACAGACAATGAATGCAAAATCTGTCGGCAGCCAGATTTGACCCATTGGCTCTAGTTTGCTGACCCCTAATCTATATCCTTCTTGTTTATAGTAAAACTTACTTATTCTTTCTCAATATTTTCTTAGCTACTCTTCCCTAATTTGTTATTAACTGAATTTAAGAAGTATTTTGTAGCGGCACCTGGGTGACTCAGTCAGTTAAGCGGCTGACTTTTGGTTTCAGCTCAGGTCATGATCTCAGGGTCCTGGGATTGAGCCCCGCGTTGGGCTCCTTGCTCAGTGGGGAGTCTGCTTAAGGATTCTCTCTCTCCCTCTGCCTCTCCCCCTGCATGCATGCTTTCTCTCACTCTCTCGTTCTCTCTCTCACAAATAAATCTATTACAAGAATTATTTTGTAAAATTCTGCTTTGTCTAAAAAATTCACTTGGAGGTATTGTAATAGCATTTGATTTGGATGTTCATTTGGTCAGAATTAACGTGTTTGCAACATTTCTTCTCCCCTTCTAAAAACATTTATTTAACTCTTTTTATATCCTAATAATCATAATTTTCATCATGTCGCTCTCCAATATTTCTTATGTCATTCCTTAGTTATTTCATGCCTTATATAGCAAAATTAGATTGTTTTCTATTAATTTTAATAAGTGGTTATTTTTCCTAGCTTATTTCAAAATGGAAGTGCTATTATTGTTCCTGGTTATAAAGTGAAGAGGTACTTATAAACAATTCAGATAACACAGGATATAAAAAAATATAGTCAAGATAAGCTATAATCCCATCATTCAACTAAAACCATCGTTAAACTTCTGGTATATAAACTTCCTGAATGTGAGGCTGTCTTTGTCTAATGTTATTGAGCATTTATTTTATCTAATTATGCCACCTGTTCAAATTCTGTACCGGTTAAGCAATTTTATGATATAATTTGGCTACAGGAAAAGAATGTTCTTCATGTGGAAACAAGTATTCTGGTTGCATTGATGGGTATGTTTACAGTCTTGTAAATTAAGAAATTTGCATGTTGAAGATTATTTACTTCTTCTTATATGTCAGTTGTGGTGAATGCCCTTGTAATTTATTTTTACACTTGACTCATCATTTCCTTACCCACTAATTTTTAGTCACAGAAGCTGCAGTGAATTCTTTCATGGCCCTGAGTATGCTTTGTTCCCATGGAGAAGAACCTAACTGGAGACTGATAGTGTGGACATGTTTCTGGCATCAAGGATGAGGGTAAGTATGCATTTGGAAGTATTAAGAGAAGATAATGTGATAATAAAAATCAACGGCTGTCGTTTGTTAGGAGAAACTCCCTCATTTTCTAACTGAACCTAGAGAATTACTTTAGACAGTTTAGAGAAAGCATATATATCTCTGAGGCACAGTTGCTGGAAGTTAGCTACAATGGGCCACCAAAGGATTTTTACACTCCTTGAAGTCATCCAAGTAGAGAGAATTGCTTGAACTTTTTTTAAATTTAAAATAAGAATGACTCTTTTTATCTGGAACTTGATAGTAATGTCACTAATTAAAATATTACAACTGAGACCAACAGCTTAATATCTAAAAAGAACTTCTGCATCACTAAAGAAAAGTATCTTGCTGGGAACAAGTTAAGGAAACAAATGTACCACCTTTTTCTTCTTTTCTTCTTTTTGTTTTTTTTGGGGGGGGTTTTGTTTGTTTGTTTGTTTTTTAGGAAGATGCCCTCTCAAAACAAAACAAAATGATTTGCCTAGCTAGGAAGATGCATTTCTAGGCACAGTGAGCCACCCTTTTCCGTTAGGGAAAGTTTTCTACCGGCGTAGGGAACCATTTGCCTGTACAGTTCCCAGATGCCAGCCAAGGCCAGCCGTGCAAAGCAGGCCTCTCTGAGGATAGTAGCCTTAGGCTTGCTTATGTTAACTTTTTTCTGTGTACATGAGTTGAATGTATAATAAAAGGTCGAAATTAGAGCAGTCTGTGATTGATCACATTCAGACCCTGTTTAAGGGAAGAGAGGGTGGGCCACTTCGGTAAGAGTGAGTTTAAATACATGATTTCTGTTCTGTTTGGGGCATGTGAAAAAATTGGAGAGTGTCTGTTTGGGACACTTGTATGTCAAAAGTGTGGTCTAAGCTTATGTGTAAAAAATTTTTCACAAAATCTTTGATACGCTAGCTATTCTTTCGCTTCCTTTTTTTCCCATGCTATGGTGACAGTTAACCGTGAAAAGTTGTTAATTTTAAAATTCCTGTGTCATTCCTTCCCCACACGTTAATTTGGAATTTGACATTCAAGGAACCATTCTTTAAGAAATAAGTCTAAGGGAATGAAATTTTTGTCTGTGGTCTCACATGAATTTAATTAGAAAACTGAAAGTTAGTTTAAAATAAACAGGCCTTTCCTTTTGACAAGATTTAAAAACAGATTAACTGGCTATCTGGACATAATTCAATTTAGGTAATCCTATTTTTGCCCATTATCAGAAATTAAAGGAATTGCTGTAACCTCTTTCATGCATTCTCCAGATACAGTTAAAAATGTTGAGGGGCACGTGGGTGGCTCAGTTGGTTAAACATCCAGCTCTTGGTTTTGGCTCAGGTCATGATCTCGAGGTCCTGGGATTGAGCCTGCTTGTGTCCCCCTCTCTCAGCCCCTCCTCCCCCCCCCATACTGTTTCTCGCTCTCTTGCTCTCTCAAATAAATAAATAAATCTTTTTAAAAATGTTGAAGTCTGCACACCAAAATGTTCACGTTAGTTATCTTTTGAGGCAGGTTTAGCTAAGTAATTGTTATTTTGGGGGAGGGGTGTTTTGGTTTCCTTGATTTTCTTTTTCTTAATGAAAATATATTATGTTGAGAAAAAGTGAATAATTTACTTAATTTGGTAGTTTAACAAAGTATTCTGACACCACCTGGCTGTCCTGCAATTCAGTTCACTTCTGAGGCTAACTACCCCAAGTTAATGCCACATCCCACAAGTTAAGGGGCAGAGCCTTCCTGAAAACTGCCCTCCCTTCAGCAAGTCTTAGGTCCATCTGTATTTCTGACTAACTAGCTAAATTCAGGGGTTCCCATGACCATCTCAAGTTTGTTAATTTGCTAGAACAATTTCCATAACTCCCTGAAAGCACTATACTTACAGTTTCAATATAAAGGATACAGCTCAGGAACAGCCAAATGAAAAAGATACACAGGACAAAGTCTTGGGGGGATCTTAGATAAGGAGCTTCTATACTCTCTCGCCTTGGACTCCAGTAACCTTGCCTTTTTGGCACATCAATGTGTTTACCAATCAGGAAACTCCTTGAGGTGTGGGTGTCCAGAGTTTTATTGGGGGTCTTACTATATTGTTGGCCACTTGATTAAGTTCAGTCTCCAGCCCTTCTTCTCTCCTTAGAGGTCTAGGGGCTGGGGCTGAAAGTTCCAGCCTTCTAATCCTATGCTTGGTCTCTCTGGCATGGCCATCCCTTCTCCGTGGAAACTATCTTAGGGCCCACCTTGAGTCATCTTGTCAGCATAAACTCAGGTGTGGTCAAAAGGGGCTTCTTTTTTTTTTTAAAGATTTTATTTATTTGAGAGACAGAGAGCACGAGAGGGAAGAGGGCAGAGGGAGAAGCAGACCCCCTGCTGAGCAGGGAGCCCGATGTGGGACTCGATCCCAGGACTCCAGGATCATGACCTGAGCTGAAGGCAGTCGCTTAACCAACTGAGCCACCCAGGCGCCCGGGCTTCTTATGAATAACTAAAGAAAACTCCTTTTCTCTCGGTGGTTTTTTGGAGTTCTACGCTACCATCAGGGGACAAAACCCAGATTTATTACACAGTTTTATATTTTGCCTCTGGTTTTGTAAGGTTTTTGTTATGAGGAGCAAAAGTGATAGATCCAATGAGGGGATCATGATTTGCAAGGCTACAGAGGATAGTGGGCAGTAAGGGAGGTAGGGATTTTGGTGGAAATCCGTCAAAGGAACTGGTGAGTGGCTGTGCCTCTGGGATGAGAACTAGAAAGCCATCTGGAAATGGAGGCTTCTGGAAAAACCCTCTGTGTTTCTTTATTGGCCATATTTGGTCTGCATTTCTGCTCTATCATCACCTTGCCTCTGATTGTTTTTGTTCCCTCCTTCTATGTCCTTCTTCACCCTAGAGCTTTTGCTGACTCGTAGGTTTTTTTTTAATTAATTGTATTTTTTAATTTTAATTCCAGGATAATTAACATATAGTGTTATATGAGTTTCAAGTGTACCATATCATGATTCAACAACTTTATATATTCATTACTCAGTGCTCATCAAGATAAGTGTACGCTTAATCCCCTTCACTTATTTCATCCATCCCCCACCCACCTCCCTTCTGGTAACTATCAGTTTGTTCTCTATAGTTTAAAGAGTCTGTTTTTTGTCTGTCTCTTTTTTCTTCCCTTTTCATTTGTTTTGTTTCTTAAATTCCACATATGAGTGACTTATTTTACTTAGCATTATACTCTCTGGCTCCATCCACGTTGTTGCAAATAGCAAGATTTCATTCTTTTTATGGCTGAATAATATTCCTTTGTCTATATATACAACATCTTCTTTATTCATCTATAGATGGACAATTGGGCTGTTTCCATAATTTGGCTATTGTAAATATGCTGCAGTAAACATAGGGGTACATATATCCTCTGGAATTAGTGTTTTCATATTCTTTGGGTAAGTACCCAGTAGTGCAATTACTGGATCATAGGGTAATTCTATTTTTAATTTTTTGAAGAACCTCCATACTGTTTTCCAGAGCAGCTGCACCAGTTTGCATTCCCACCAGCAGTGCATGAGGATTCCTTTTTCTCCACATCTTTGCCAACACTGTTTCTTGTGTTTTTGATTTTAGCCATTCTGACAGGTTTGAGGTGATATCTCATTGTAGTTTTGATTTGCATTTCCCTGATGATGTGTGGTGTTGAGCATCTTTTCACTTGTCTGTTGGCCATCTGGATATCTTTGGAGAAATGTGTGTTCATGTTTTCTGCCCGTTTTCTGATTGGATGTGTGTGTGTGTGTGTTGAGTTGTAGAAGTTCTTTATATATTTTGGATTCTAACCCTTTATCAGGTGCATTTCTATACACTAATAATGAAGCAGCAGAAACAAGAATTAAGAAAACAGTCCTATTTACAACTGCACCCAAAATAATAAACACCTAGGAATAAACGTAACCAGGGAGGTGAAAGACCTATACTCTGAAAACATAAAACACTTACAAAAGAAATTGAAGACGACACAAACAAATGGAAAGATACTCCATACTCATGGATTGGAAGAACATATATTGTTAAAGTGTCCATACTACCCAAAGTAACGTACAGGTTCAGCCCTTATCAAAATGCCACCAGCATTTTTCACAGAGCTAGAACAAACAATCCTAAAATTTGCATGGGACCCCAGAAGACCCTGAATAGCCAAAGTGCTTTAATCTTGAAAAAGAAAAAGCTGTGGGATGCCTGGGTGGCTCAGACGGTTAAGCATCTGCCTTCGGCTCAGGTCATGATCCCAGGGTCCTGGGATCGAGCCCTGCATCGGGCTCCCTGCTGAGCAGAGAGCCTGCTTCTCCCTCTCCCTCTGCTGCTCCCCCTGCTTGTACTCTCTCTAAAATTAAAAAAAAATAAAAAAAAAAATCTTAAAAAAAAAAAAAGCTGTGGAGAGGTATCACAATTCCAGAGTTTCAAGTTATACTATCAAGCTGTAGTGATCAAAACAGTATGGTACTGACACAAAAATAGACACACAGTTCAGTGGGACAGGATAGAAAGCCCAGAAGCAAACCCACGATTATATGGTCAATTAACCTTCAACCAAGGAGGCAAGAATATGTAGTGGGAAAAAGTCTCTTCAACAAATGGTGCTGGGAAAACCGGACAGCTACATGCAAAAGAAAAACTGGACCACTTTCTTACACCATACACAAAAATGAACTCAAAATGGATTAAGGCCCTAAATGTGAGACCTCAAACCATAAAAATCCTGGAATAGAGCTCAAGCAGTAATTTCTCTAACATCGGCCATAGCAACATTTTTCTAGGTATGTCTCCTCGGGCAAGGAAAGCAAAAGCAAAAATAAATGATTGGGACTATATCACAATAAAAAGCCTCTGCAGAGCAAAGGAAACAATTAAAACTAAAAGACAGCCTACTGAATGGGAGAAGATAATTTTCAAATGACATATCCAATGAAAGGTTAGTATCCAAAATGCTTACTCATGGTTTCTGCTTCCTC